ACGAAGAGTTGAGATTTAACTCTTGAGTTCAAGAATAGTGTCCCTGACACAAGCAACAGCTTCCTGGACTTCCGCGCGCACTATACTCCTGACCTGTTCTAAAGGGACAACCTGTAATTCAGGTCCCTCACGTTCCCTGGATCCAGCACGCAACGGTCTCATCGTAACATTGGATGTATCAGGTGCTCGAGGCCTCACATTGCCACGGACAGGAGTTTCATCATTAACAGTACGTGATTTAGTCGCACAATTAAGACATATCCATGTAGACTTAAATTCAGAGTCCGGCGTCCAACCCTTTTTTGCAGGAAGAACACAGCCGATATGATAATAATTTCTACACACCGTACACACCAAAGTTGACTTCTTATTGTCACGAGTATTGACCACTTTATTACATCCATAATGAATTATAAATTACGAGCTTAGATTCCAAGTAATATGAAGGCAATGTATAATTTAGCAAGTCAGTTCAGTTAATTGTTGAAGCAACAGGGCGACGACCAAACGCAGGTCCAGCGACGCCAGTTCACGCCCGGCCACCCGAGTGCTTTTTTGAATGTTTATAACTTCTTCGGCTCGATACACTCAAAACGCACACGCGTGTCAAGCAAACAAGCACCCACAGGCAGGCTCAAGCGAGAGGCAGTCACAATAAGAAAGCTAAGGCGTATCTTACCAAGCTTCTATCTCTGTTACACCGCCCAAAATGCGGAGTCAGCCGTTAAAAACGTTAAGGAAGAACATGGAGCCACCGATGAATTGAAAACGACAAATCACAATTTAAAATTAACAAATTTAAACTTAAAAGAAACGATAATGCTGCAACGACCACGGAGACGTCCACTATCTACGGTCGCAACGCAAATTGATGAAGAGAATTTTATTCGCGGTAACGAAATCCCAGAGGCGTTTACGAAATAGCCGTTCGTAAATTTTTCCTATAGTAGGGAGGAGACTAATCGGACGGTAACTAGAGGTTTCGTTTCTCGGTTTGCCCGGATTATGTAAGTATACATAATGTGGATAGTATAGTACAGTAGATAACGACCGCTTCTTTCCACACCGCGGGAAAGATGCAGTGTGTCATAGCGGCATTTAAAATGCGGTTGCGGATGCTGTCGGAGCCGGGTGCCTTCCTTGGTTGGACGTTCTGGATCGCGTCTCTAACTTCGTCAGTGGTAATGTGGGGTAACGCGTCCGAGGGCGGCAGGGAAGCTCTGTGCTCGACCTCCCTGTCGACTAACTCGGTGTGTTCGGGGTCCGCGTATTGAGTGCTGGTGGTGCACTGCTCTTGCAGTACATCGGCCAACAGCTCAGCCTTGTCATCGTCATCGAATGCTGGTGGTTGGCCTGAAGGGCGTACGAGGGGAGGCATAGTAGCGGTAGTTTCGGATTTGAGAGTCCTAGCTAGTCGCCAGTATACTTGGTGAGAGAGCGCGAGTTGTTCTAAATAGCCATGCCAATTCTCGTTACGGGCGTCGCTTAGGCGGGATTTGACTTCGCGTTGTAGACGACGCATCCGAATCTGGTTTGAATGCGTAGGAAGACGATCGTAGGCCCGGATTGCCGCGTTCCTAACTCTTAAGAGATTCCTAAGTTCGAGTTATAGTCTGATGCGGTAGGAGCTATCCTCCACATCCACTTCTTTGGAAGATCTAATGATCGCGGAAGAGATGTGATCGGTAATGATGTTTATGGACTCGACGGTGTCCTCAGGGGATAGATTCGAATCCGGGCCGTAAGGGAGGATTGGTGGAGCGGCTTCGGCTAAGCAGGTGCTTAGCTTATTCCAATCCACCATGGTCCTCGTAACAGTGACTGGGTTGTGAGGGCGACCGAGCTGCATAACGACAGGTCGGTGGTCTGAGTCGAGCTCTGACAGTGCTTCGATGGAACGCAAGCGCAAAGTTACGTTCCTAAGCAGTGCCAGGTCTATAGTGCTCGGACGGAGCGCGATGTTTGTTATACGGATAACATGTTGAAGTTGGGGGACCGACTACTTCAAAGGTGAGGTCGTCTATAAATGCGTCGAGACGCCTACCGTTAACATTTGTACGATGGCAGTTCCACCTAGTGTGGTGGCAATTTAAATCGCCTGCCAGGATGACAGAGTTTCCCATGCCGAACAGTGACTCGATGTCACTGCTCAGGAGGGGCTTGTCCGGGGGGAGATATACGGATGCGATGACGATCGGCTGGTGTCCCGTCAGCGAGATACGGCACACTGACGCCTCGATATGTGAGAGCGAGGGAGTATCGAGAGGGACATCGTGCAGGGCCCGCCTATAGTAAATAGCAGTCCCGCCTTTGGAGGCGGTGAGTCTGTCATTCCTAACCATGAGGTAATTCGCGACTTTTGGGTCACGACGCGAGGGCTTCAGGCAGGTCTCCTGCACTAACAAAATATCTACAAGATTGTCGCGGAGGAATTCGAAAATTTGATCGCCTTGCCTCGCGAGTCCGTTATCATTGTAGAATGCTAACGTAAGGGAAAATGGTTTTTCTCTACCGTTTCACGCCATTGATTACCGGTAAAGATTTATAAAGTACGGGACACGGACTCGTATACGTCCATGTGGTCAAACGCGGCTGCGAGCCACTGTTCGGGGGTTACCGACCTACGAATAGCGTCTGCGAATGATTGCAGACGGTCGAAGTTGACCGCGGTGACGAAGTCGCGCACGAGCGCGAAGTCGTTGACAGCAGAGGGTTGCGGGGGACGGAACGCGGGCGCGGAGCGAGGTACGAGCAGGGGCTGGGGCGCGGGGCGTGTCGCGAGCCGGGGCTGGGGTGCGGTTTGCGTTCCCGCCTTCGTAAACGGCAGTGGTTTTTTCCACGCCGAGACGGTGGGAATCGCAGCCGGCACGAAGGCGGGTTTCGGCACTGAAGGCGCCGAAGTCTTTGGGCCGATGGTTCGGGGGACTGGATGATTCGGACGTTTACGCGGAGCCCTAGAACATCCACGGTAATTCGCGGGGCGCCCTTGCTTAAGGCATAGGACACAAATTGGGGGTTCAGTCGCGGTTTCCCTAACTCGCGAGCAATCGGTTGTTGCGTGATCGCCGAGGCACTTCAAGCAACGGGGACGCGCGTGGCAATTACGCGCAGAGTGGCCATAAAGTTGGCATCTGTAGCACTGCCCGGGAGTGCCACGTTTATGGGGGGCTTCGGTGAAGACCCCGGATAGGCCGCAAATTGTCGAGAGACATGCGATCTTCTTTTTGGCCTCCGGGGTGGGTTCGAGTGCGACCAAAATCATATTATAGGGCTGCTTGCCCCGACCACTATGCATCCGGTGCACACTAACTAACGGGAGGAACTGAGCGGCCAGATCCTCCTTAATGTACTCGATGTCGAGCTCCTTCGGGACACCGCGTATTATTACGTGTAGTTCGCGGTCCTCCTGAAGAGCATAGGTGTGGAAACCTATGTTCTCCTTTCGGAGGTAGGCGGAGAGGGCCCTATGGTCGCCCGGCGTTGCGACCTTGATCTGCATCCCATGCAAGACGTTACGCGCATGGGTATAATTGATTTTATTGGCCTGAAGGGCCTGGGAAACGCGGTTCCAACCTGATTCCTGGAGTATCAGCGGGGGCGGGACAACGATTTTATGTGCTGCGGGTGCGGGTTTGGGACGCGGCGGTGGAGTTACGCGGCGAGCGGAGTCCGACTCCGGTGTCACGACTACCTGCGGACGGGAGGCGGTCGCGGATTTGGTTTGCTTGGTCGTGGAGCTCCGGGACTCCACGACGCGGGTATGCTTTTTACCGCGCGAGACGGTTTGGAACCCATCCGAGGTTCCGGGCTGAGGACTGGACGCGGAGTTGAAGTCCATCTCCGATTTGGTATCGGAGCCTGAGCTTGAAACTAATGAGGTCGCGACGGACGAAAATGACGTAATCGACGCGGGCGCGGGGACGGGGGAGCGCTAGGCGCTTCATGAGTCGCTACGTGGGAACGTGCGCTCGAACTTGTTACGGGGGCGAGACATGCCAGCGAGGCTTTAAGCGACGCGGCGAGGGACACGGGGGGGAGGGGTTCACGTGAGTGGCCCTATAGGCTGCGAATTCAGCCGTGAGATTTGGGTACTTCTCCCGAAGTGACCCAAAAAATCCTACCATTTCTTCATCCATCTTCGATGTTTTCGCCTGGGGGGGCGGCCCCGGGACTTTTGTTCAACTCGCCGAAAGGCGAGTCCCCTGGTTTGGGAGAACCTCCCTGCGCTGTACTAGCCAGCAAGATAGTAGGGAGGGGGAGTGCCTATGTCGTGAAAACGACAGTCAGCGGGGTATGAGAGGGTTTGGGAAGATCGCTAGGCTGTGAGTGGCACAGGAAGCCTGATCGTAGCGATCTTTTTTGTCTTGAAAAAGACAGTTGGTATACGGTATCACAAACACTACACTGTCACGTACAAACTGACTTTACGATACGCAGAGCGCAAAGCGAACGACAGATCGGAAAGCACGTCCGCACACGATCTAGTCGTGAGCGCGAATGTGTGCCATACAATCAACCTCTGCTCATATATACATACGTATGTATATTTATATACTAAGTACAGTAGTACACATTATTGCTTTGTTATTTGTTATTTTTATTGCTTAATTGGGTGAACGAGCTCACGGCCCACTTGGTGTTAAGTTATCAGAACCCATAGACGTCTACAACGTAAATGCCGCCACCTACCTTGAGATTATGAGTTCTTAGGTCTCAGTTTTTACACACGACGTCCTATCTACCACCAGTAATTACGCTAATTATAATTTTGCTGGGTTTTTTTTGCTACACGATACTATTCCGCGTGGAAGTCAATCGCGAACATTTGTTAAGTACGTGTTACATTAGAAAATTGATACTAGCTAGCAGGGTTCGGACACCGATGCGTCGCTAGATACGAATGCACCGGACGTCTTTATTATCCTTTAGGCCACGACGACTTGTGGTAATAAATACTTATTATACATTTTTGTTTATGTCTCAAAAATAAAAGTCTTGTATTGTTCTATTAGTTTATTTATTACTACTACAAATTCCAAAATGCCGTTGTGTTTTTGAAGGTCTCGTTTCGAGTCTCTATGTAGAGTGTCCTAATTCATGATGCCCGTGACACTAGAACAGAAATATGACAATCACTGAAAAAATATATTCCAAAAATTCGTTAGCGAATTGTTTCTAATTGACGAAAATATTAAACAGAGCCCACGTTGGACTTCGTGCTGACCACTTTTCGAAGTCCATTTAAAGAAAACTTACTGGTGATAAGACNGGTCTCGTTTCGAGTCTCTATGTAGAGTGTCCTAATTCATGATGCCCGTGACACTAGAACAGAAATATGACAATCACTGAAAAAATATATTCCAAAAATTCGTTAGCGAATTGTTTCTAATTGACGAAAATATTAAACAGAGCCCACGTTGGACTTCGTGCTGACCACTTTTCGAAGTCCATTTAAAGAAAACTTACTGGTGATAAGACCTCTTGTGAGTCCGCACGGGTAGGTACCACCGCCCCGCCTATTTTTGCCGTGAAGCAGTAATGCGTTTCAGTTTGAAGGGTGGGGTAGCCTTTGTAACTTTACTGAGACCTTAGAACTTATATTTGAAGATGGGTGGCGCATTTATGTTGTAGATGTCTATGGGTTCCAGTAACCACTTAATACCAGGTGGGCTGTGAGCTCGTCTACCGATCTAAGCTATAAAAAAAAAAAAAACTTAGTTCTGGATAAAATTTAAAAATACGCTTCGATAAAGGCTGTTCTGTCATTTCAATATACCACACAATGGCTTCATGGCAGCAATGAGTGTAATTGTGATACAGACCCTTGCGCATTCACAACATGCTAAACAATTGTCAGGGCTTATGGAATAAATAATGTAATTAGTATCAGCCTAACTTGAGTCAAGATCGCCATCACAATTGCATTATAATAACAAACTAACTGAAAAGTTCTTCGGGTATGAAGAAAGAAGAAGATTAAGAAACCGATTAAATTTGTTTTTTTTTTATTATTAGTTCAAATTGCAGAATAGTAAAGAATTCTTTGTGATAAACACGCGATTACAGTTTTCTCATCGCATTACGATATCACTTCATCAGCACTTAGTTGGCACTTAATTTCCAAACGTATTTTGTGTCATGGTGTTTTCTAAGTGGTTCGGCATCTCTTTCTTCAATTGAGACAGGAAGGGAGGAGTCCGCGGCCACGAATAGTTTGACAGTGATTGCTGACTTCCATAAACGACGTTGATCACTTACCATCAGATGTGCCCTGTGCTTAGCCTACCTTTGAAGCCAATCATTTATTTTAAATATATTCGCTGAAATAAAAAAACGAACAATCCTTACTTCCATATTTTTTCAAACTTTCTAACGACGGTATCGGTTACGTATTTCGGTGATATTTTTTTGATAAATAATAATGATTGACTCTCCGTTCTCCGCGTCAGGTAATCCGTGCACTGGTTGCTCTCTGAGCATTTTGATCCCTCCAGCAGCTCCTTAATGATCTTTCTAAGTTGTACAAAAAAATGTAGAAAAATTACAGTAAAACTAATGAAACAATATCAGAGGAAGTTAATTTAAGGCTACGGATATAGTCTGCAGATTATAATGTAAATGTAGATGTAGATGTAGATGTATATATCCTCTATTGTTTAAAACCCGCGATGAACAAGATTTTAAGTGTAATAAATTTTTTATTTTTTTTATGATTGAAAGATTACTGCTGGCCCGGAGGCCTTTCCAGCTTCACCAGGACAGGTGGGCGAGCAAAGGCTCAGCCAGGGGGTGTGGGATTTGCTAACAACTGCCCGAGCGCCTCCGAAGGAGACCTAACAACTCAAGAGCAATTGCTTCGCGAATGAATCTACTACCGGATCGGAATCGCGACCCACTGAGAAGAGCCGGCGAGAAACTCAGCGGGCTGATGCATGGGTTAGGTTGCACGTCGACCTCTTTGTCGAGTTCGACAAGTACAGTTACCGGGGTTCCTCAGCCTGCTCCTAGTGTTAGAGCTGAAGGTATCTAATACAAGAGTTATTGGATCTGATGGATCCGTAAGGACGTGTCTAGGGCGACGACGGTGACTTGCTCCTGCGTGATCAGGATTCGGGGAGTAGTCAGCGGCGGCAACGATAAGGCGATTATCATGACGCATAGCCTTATCGAAGTAACGTTCCGACACTGACTTCATGTGGTTGCTGATCGATTCGAGGCTCAGGTCATCGTGTAAGACGAACCACGGAGCTCCGACGGCTAACCTGCAAAAGCAGGATTGTAGGGATTGGAGGCTGTCTATGTGTGTGCGGGCCGCGTGAGCGAACACCACACTCGCGTAAGTCATGACGGGCCTTATGCAAGTTTTGTAAAGTGTCACCTTGTTCCGAAGGGACATTTTACTCCGCTTACAGATCATGGGATAGAGCCTGCCGAAAATAAATGCGGCAATGTCGCGGACTGTTTTTATATGACGGCGGAATATCATGGATGCATCCAGGATGACTCCCAGGTACTTGACCTTCCTGGCCCAGGGTATAGGTTGGCCGAAGAGGGTGATCGGGGGTGTGATATTTCTCCTCCTAATGCGGGAGGAAATAAGCGGTGAGTTTCCCCTTTGAAATAACACTGCTGTGCTTTTCGCTGGGTTAATGTCTATGCGCCATTTTCGGAACCACTATCCGAGGGTTAAGGCTGCACTCTGGGGTTTACTCGCGATTAGGGACTTGTTTCTACTTGAGTAGTAAACGGTTGTGTCGTCAGCGAATAAGGCTAGCTGGGTTGGCGGCGACCGGGGAATATCATTGATAAATAAACTAAATAGGAGCGGAGAAAGAATGGAGCCTTGCGGGACTCCAGCCGTGAGTGGTCGCGGGGAGGAGCGGATTCCCTCTACTCGATATCGAAAAGCGCGGTTAGACAAAAAGTCCCGTATGATGAGCACGAGACTGTCCGGTACGCCCATGTTGAAAAGTTTGAAAATCAAACCGTTGTGCCAGACTTTGTCGAACGCTTTTGCGACGTCGAAGAAGAGGGCTCCCGTGTAGATTGTTTATGGTCGGTTAAGCCCTACGAGAATGTGCTCCGTGAGGCGGTGCACCTGTTGTACGCATGAGTGATTTGCACGGAATCCGAATTGTTCATCGATGAGAATCCCCTTGGATGAGAGGAAGTCTCTGAGGCGTTTGTAGAGCAGACGCTCATATAGTTTGCCCAGAGACATGAGAAGGCAGGAGAATCGAGCGGTAGCTCGTCGGATGATTTTTTGGTTTACCGGGTTTATGTATGCCGATAACGTCCGCTTCTTTCCACACCGCGGGAAAGATACAGTTCGCCATAGCGGCATTGAAAATAGATGCCAACATCACGATGAGTTGGACGGGTAGAAGTTTAATAACGCCGTTAGATATATCGTCGGAACCGGGAACCTTGCGAGGACGTAGGTCTTTGATCAAGTCTTTAACTTCCATCGGGGTGAAAAAATCGTAGTCCATATTTATCGTAATGAGAACTAAAGCGTTTTAGTCGAACTCTCAATTGCTATTCGTTGATTTGAAGCAGAAACCCCTGTCCACTTACTAAGTAATTGGCGTAGGTGTATAAACTACTTCCAATTAACAGCTAGACACACTATCATTATACAAGATCCCCCGGCGCAGGATTTTCCACGGTTAGGGTTATGAGACATGGCTTTTAGGCTATAGAGATAGATAGATGAGAGATATTAAAAAAAAAAACTACACGGAACTTTATAAATTAGCATTGGTGACTTGGTATCGCTAATCAGAAGATACCCAACTTTTAACTATCTTCTCTAACATCCCCCCAAAAAGTAGTGGTAATAATGGTATTTTCACATTATATTTTCCTGTCTACCTAACTATCTGATTTATTAAGTAGAAAGCAGTTGAGTTTTCAATCTATTGCAAGCGTCGAGAGCAGTATTCACCTTCTGGACTCTATAAAAACATCTAAAGCCGCTAAGCTTAAGTAGTACTGTAAGCTCGTCTCACCTTCGCGAATGAGAAATCAAACAATCCGAACTTATACTCACGAGAAAAGCCAAAAATTGTTTTCGTCTTCATTGAACTTTGACGACGTATTATTTAAAGTTCTTTGTATTAGTCCGTGCAAAACGCTACCCGACGCATCTAAAGCTGCAAAAATTGTCAGTGAGCAACAACATCGAAATCTGAGAATTGAATTGTATTTTAACTTCTTTAGACCTTTACCTGAAAATCTATATTTAGTCTCATCGATTGTCGTGAGCAAATCAACATTTTCTTCTTCATATGGTGTATCCATATTCCAACAGTAAAGCTTGTTCCGATTCCCATCCGTGAATAACAAAATATTACCTTCATAAGTTCTCGTATAGATCATCCCTTCATAATTTGGGTAGTAGGTGTTTTTAAATGTATCCTTAAGATAAGCATAAAAAATATTATCATTGAGTCAATTTTTAAAACGTCCTCGTGTTGGTATGCGGTCTTGTGAGCACGCATAGGTAAGTACAAACATCTTGTCTATTTTTGCCGTGAAGCAAAAATAAAATTCGGTTTGAAGGGTAGGACAGTCGTTGTACTATCACAGTAACTTAGTTGAACTAAGAATAATAATTGAAATTAAATTCGATCGAGTCTAGATAATTTAACCAACCAGATCTTGCGAAATAATAAAGAGGTAATTTTTGTTATCGCCTGAATTGTTGGACGAGCTCACAGCCCACCTGCTATTAAGGGGTTACTGAAGCCCATAGACATCTACAAAGTAAATGCGCCACCCATCTCGAGATATAAGTTCTAAGGTCTCAAGTATAGTTACATCGGACCCTTCAAACAGAAACATATTACTACTTCACGGCTGAAATAGGTGGTGGTACCTACGCGTACTGACTCACAAGAGGTCCTACCACCAATATTTTACATCTTAATCTCAAAAAACTTGTCTCTTAACAGTTAAGAACTTACACGAGGTCTTGAATCACTGCTTGGATCATACAGTTGATTTGTAGAATTTAAAAAATCCACATAGTGTTCGTATGTTTCATTTGGCCTTTTTCTATATTTTTCAACTTCTAGCCTGTATTGTGTTTCAAACTCTAACCAGAAAAATAGAAAGAATTAGTTTGCAAAAAAGATCTGAAATACATTATTATGGAGGTAGGGAAACTTGATGCAATGTGCGTAAGTCGGCGCTGCTGACATTTCTCGGCATATTCCTGAAATCCAGTTTTTTGATAGAAAATCAATCGCAATACAATAATCAATATATCAACTTAGTGCCACGTGGAGAACGGAAACTTTTATTTTTTAATGCTAATATTTACCACGGGCATGTGTGCTCAGAGGCAACCTTTAACTAATTACAATAATAATAATATAACTCTTTATTTAACACCACATGTACAGAGTAAGCATTTAAAACAAATAATAGACTGTGACATAAATTGGCGGCCTTATCGCTGAAAGCGATCTCTTCCAGGCAACCTTGCAGGGAGAGGAATAAGCAAACTGGACGGTGCTATATCTTAATAAGCTTAAATAAAAATATATACTTATATACACATGTGAAAAATAAATACAATATAAGATATACTTACATACGATTAAATACAAATAAATACTAAAAATATGTACCAGTAAATACAAAATAAGTAGCAACTTGTACAGTTATATCGTAGGAGCCATATTATTGTGCAAGGTAGTGCGATTTTAATCTGAACTTGAAAATTTCCGGCGAGGACGATTGTTTGATGCTTAAGGGTAGTGCATTCCATAAACGGACTGCTTCAACCGTAAAGGAATGGTCATAAAATGACGTCCCGTGCGCCGGAAACTTCAGCATTAAATTCTCCGATGACCTAACTGAATGGGAGTTTGCAGTATGTACAATGTAAGTTCTTTACATTTCTTTGTTATATTCGTTCCTTATTGTTATTATTATTGACAAGCATTTCCCGTAGCTTAAAAGTGGATGATCTACATCAATGTGCGTTCGGTATAGAATAGTCATCGCATACAAGAGGAAAATACAATACTGACAGAATTAAACTATAAAAAAAACTTCAGAGGTGTCAAGGGACACCCGGATGGAACGAAGTTCCTTTCGATTAATTAGTGAAGGAATTGTAATTTTTTTTTAAGTTATAATAATAAATTACGGCATTATGAAGAAGAAAAAAACAATACTATGAACTAAATTACTATTGTTGAAACGCTATCTCGAGAAACTGTACTCATTACGCGGACCAATCGGATAAGAGCAATGTCACGCGATAAGCGCCTACACGTTGATTGGTCAGAATGGCGGATCTTAAAAGTGTCGTGACAACTTTTCGTAAGAATTTTTTCCGTCTAGCCCCCTTTCACAACGCGCGATAAGGAACTTCGTTCCAATAGGCTTGCCTCAATCGACGTGTATTTATGTATGAAATATGTACCATCAAGCAGAATTTCGGTATACACAATTACAACTTACATAGGTTTTCTGGAAACTTATTCTAAGTAACAATGAATACAAAATCATATAAAAAGACATACGTGGCACAATAAATTTCCAAGAATCAGCCGTATTACTTGCGCGGCTGATTTTCGTAAAACGCATGTCCTGAAGCGAGAAGACAATGAGGTCGCGGGTAGTGTCGTCAGTAATGTATACGTATGACTCGGCGCACGGGAATATAAAATCAACCGATAGAGATCGGAGTCCTGAAAAATTATATTAATTATGTCCAAGTCCTCAGTGATATCTTGTAAACGAATGGTATGTAACCTTTTGAACTCTGTATGCCTGTGAGAGTAAAACATTAACTTAGTAAATAATGCAACCTAACTGATATGACTATAGTCAATATAGTTGATATAGTTGAAGTTATAGTTATAATAAGATATAATTGTGGTCGTCGTGGCCTAAAAGATAAGTCGTCCGGTGCATTCGTATCGTGTTCGAATCCCGCAGGCAAGTACTAATTTTTCTAATGAAATACGTACTTGACAAATGTTCACGATTGACTTCCAAGGTAAAGGAATAGCATCGTGTAATAAAAATCAAGGCCGAAAAATCATAATTTGCGTAATTTCTGGTGGTACCTCTTGTGAGTCTGCACGGGTAGGTACCATCACCCATCCCATTTCTGCCGTGAAGCAGTAATGCGTTTCGGTTTGAAGAGTGGGGCAGCTGTTGTAACTATACTGAGACCTTAGAACTCATATCTCAAGGTAGGTGGCGGCATTTACGTTGTAGAGGTCTATGGGCCTGTTAACCACTTAACACCAGGTGGGCTGCGAACTCATCCACCAATCTATGCAATAAAAAAATACCTAAAAGATATAAATATGCTGTCGCATGCTTTTTTGTAGGCCTATTTTAGACAAACATTTCCACTACACATTATATAAATTGTGTAGCTTTAATAGTTTTTGCATGCCAGGATAGTTCGCAGATGGCAGATTTTTTTCCCACTCACTTGACCTTCATCGTTATATATTGGTTAATTAACACTATATCCATATAAATTATAGTCTATGTGCTATTTTGATGTGTAAGCTATATTATTATATATTGTCATCAAAATCCATTCAGTAGTCTTTGCGTGAAAGAGTAACAAATATTCATTTATACATTCTTACAAACTTTCGTGTTTATAATACTCTAGACGATGAGTTTTTTTTTTTTTGATTACGCCATCTTGTTGTGTCTTTAAGGCGGTTAGTTGCCCTCAATTAAGAAAAATAGTATTATTATTCGCCAATAGATGTCGGAAAGATTGATTGTTGAGAACACGAATAAAACAACATTTTCTGAAAATAAATCGCAGCTAGATCGATTTATCACCCCCGAAATCCCCTGTTTACTAAATTCTATGAAAATCTTTCCGAGATTCAGATTATATAGATATATATTAATACACAAGAATTGCTCGTTTAAAGGTATAAGATATCATGTTTCTAGGATTCCTGTTTTGTATTTCTACTTATTGTTTCGTATTGTAAGCGTCTTCTATGAAATGTATAATTAAATGTACGCTATTGGCACTCTTGACTTTTAGGTCAAGGTTAGATTGTTTGACTTCTACATGGGACAAATATTTGGGTCAGGGACAAATATGTTTTCTCCTTATCTGGGTAGTCAATAACTATCAATCATATGTAAATATTTAAGCTTATGTTATTATGTTTATCAGTCCTTGGTACAGGGTATCCTAGTTTGGGCTCAGGTGATCGCGTGTGATTAATCCCTGATTATTTATTTATTATAATTTATAAATATACTGAAGTTACTTGCCACTAGTGATACCGTTATGAAGTAAATCACTGTCAATATCTTTCCTAAACTGCAGATCTGCTGTTGAAAAACTAAGGTAGAGTAACAATGATGCTGGTTTTACTTGCTTTCGTACACCTGAAAAGTTTAATTTATTGAATCATCTAATATGTTTTAGTAAGAAGGCATTTAAGAATAAATTTTAATAAAAAAATTATATTGATGTCAAACAATCACTACTATAAGACGCGGCACCTAAAATATATTTCTATAAACATTTCAATACAACAATTTCTATAAACAAAACATTATGTATTAAAATCGACATGTCCATATCATGCAATGTCGTGGATAATCGCTTGGCTGCATCTTTCCCCTTACTTATGAAAATGGCTGTTTTGTTAATAATCCTTTGTATCATTACTACATAGTATAAAACAAAGTCGCTTTCTCTGTCCCTATATCTGTCTGTCTCTACGTATGCTTAAATCTTTAAAACTACGCATCGGATTTTGATGCGGTTTTTTTAATAGATAGAGTGATTGAAGAGGAAGGTTTATATGTATAATAACATCCATTAAATAGTGGAGAAATCAATAATAAATTGCAGTTTCCGAAGCGAAGCGAGGGCGGGTCGCTAGTACTTCTATATTGCAATCAAATCGAGTATATAAACTCACCTGGGATATCGAGGTATCCTGTATCAACAAACCAAAGTCTAGAACAGCTGTCTTGAAACATGTTAAAAACCGATACTAATTCTTTACCTTCCTTTGAATTAGGAAATGGTCTTAGCATTAGCTCCTTATCATCCAGATTACTAATAAAGTTTACTGTATATGGAATTCCTGAAATATAAAATTTTAAACTGTTCGTTGGCTGATTAACGACAATCATCGTTGACCTAATAGTTTGTTGGATGCATTTTAGATCTCTTTAGATCTTTGACCACGAGTATGTAGCTGCTTTTCAGTGCTTACGTTTCGTCGGCTTGGATCAACGAGAACTCTGCGGCGCTTGGTGCTTTGTATTGCTCTAAGTGGACACCGTCCCCAGTCACGGCCTTACCGTCATATATAGTGTAAATATAGCTTTAAATAAGACCTTGATTCAAGAACTCTAAGCGCTTAACCACAAAAACACACCGAACACGTCATTTCAAATAGTAAACTCATGATTACCTTATTAAAACTGTGTACTGGTTTTTCCAAATTCACAGCGTTCAGTAGTTCATTATTAATATCAACGTTTTTACTGGTGGTAGGACCTCTTGTGAGTCCGCGCGGGTACCACCACCCTGTCTATTTCTGCCGTGAAGCAGTAGTGCGTTTCGGTTTGAATGATGGGGCAGCCGTTGTAACTATACTTGAGACCTTAGAACTTATATCTCAAGGTGGATGCCGCATTTACGTCGTAGATGTCTATGAGCTCCAGTAACCACTTAACACCAGGTGGACTGTGCGCTCGTCCACCCATCAAAGCAATAAAAAATAAAATAAAAAACCAGAGCTCGGAGATTAGTGAATACTCCAAATTAATGAAAAATATATGTGCATGTGTAAATAATCTAAGTAACTTTAAGTGTACGCAAAATTGCTAATAGTTAATTGTTTCCCAATAGGGTATTCTCAACTTACTTAGTCTACCAACGATTCGTACCCAAACTACCTATTTCTGCTGAGCATTGACACATGCCGGTTTTAAGAACAGAGCATTCTAATTTGAATTGTCCTATTTAGAAACTCCAAACATCAAATGCTTTAAAACCAGTAATAATTTTAGCTGCAAAAAATTTGCAAATAGAAAAAAATACATTGGCCAATATATAGAATTTTAACTTACATTTTACTCCATCAATATCGTAACTAAACAGTTTCCAACCATGCTGATATGTAAAGTTACGTTTAGCATCATACACTGGCAGTATTAATAACTGGATTAATAATAAACACAACATTCTAAAAGCACGTCTACAACCACTCAGATAGCATTTGCGACTGAGACATTTAATCATTGAATGCAATTTGGGTTCAAAAAATTTGGGTTCATATGTCATTTTAGAACTGTAATGAATGTGAGCCTCGTAGTTATTATTGGCTGGCGATTGTGACATTTAAACCACATACCTAGTTTTTGTATATGATTTTTACTTTTAATACCATACCAGGCCATATAGTAGCGGTAGTAAGCCGCCCGCTCATCCAATGATCCAAGGTGGGGAGAATGTTTTAGGTATGTTCAAGCCTTATTTCAACTGTATTGAATATTAAGTAAAAATAAAAAATGTTTTCACATTAAAATCTCTATTTAACTGAAATAATCTGGCCAGTACTAAACTTGTGAGTCAAATAAGAGTGGAGAGATGGGGCATTCGTTGTTCGTAATCATTAGAGTAATAGTAATGTGTACTTACTACAAATTACTTACTAAGCATCATAAGCATTTGTATCAGTAGGGTTGGGGGAAGGGTTTATTATAATTGCCACTCTTGGTATGGGGGTTAGCGATCGAAGAATTTTTTTTTCAATTTGGAGAACACTTTCGCCCCTTCTCTGTAAAATCTCTTGGCCACAATTTGGTCATAAGGCGTCAAATATGTGACACCAGAATCTATAAATTTAAATATCGGTATGTGTGAAATGTATGTATTCTCCAAAACAGCTGGACCGATTTCCATGAAATATATAGAAAATTTATAATTTGAATAGAATTTAATAAAGCTTAGTCTGGAAATAAAACGGTGATTTTTTTATATTTATGTCAAATAGCTCTCAGGACTTTCCATTTTACAAGGCATCTTGGAACTGCTGCTCATTGCTGTCAAAGCTAGTTAGTTTGATTTGATATAATCACCGCATAATGCTGATCAGCATTTGATCTTTTCCGGCGTTGGAGACCCTGACGTTGTTTCACTGAAGACACGTTTTTTAAAACTCATATATCTGGAATGATGTTTACTGAGGTATTATTTTGTTGTCATCTCTCGAAGTATTATTGTGTTCTTTATATCACTACTGTTCAAATCACGCTACATTTTCCCTGCATAGTTGACAATGTCTCGACAAGAATTCGGTTGCTGTGCATCGTCGTAAGGCCCCTGCAAGTGAGTAGGACGTAGAAGTGAGTGGCAGGACTTCTTGTGAGTCCGCAGGGGTAGGTTCTACCACCCTGCCTATTTCTGCTGTGAAGTGGTAATGTGATTCGGTTTGAAGGGTGGGGCAGCCGTTATACTGTAAAGACTGAGACTTTAGAATTCATATCTCAAGGTGGGTTATGGTATTTACGTTGTAAACGTCTATGGGCTCCGGTAACCCTTTAACACCAGGTGGGCTGTGAGCTCGTCCACCCATCCAAGCAATAAAAAATTACAAAAAAAAGAACCACAAGTAAAAAAAAAGTAGCAAATAGAGGCGGTTCAATTTCACCAGTGCTTCGTGCTAACTTTTAATACGATTCGAAAAAACTTGTGGAATTTTTTTTTTTTGCTTAGTCGGGTGGACGGGCTTACGGCCCTCCTGGTGTTAAATAGTCACCAGAGCCCAAGGACATCGGCAACTTAAATTCCGCCACCAACCTTGAGAAATGAGTTCTAAATCTCAGTTTTTACAGCACGACAGCTGCCTCACTCTTTAAACCGCAACGCTTTGCTGCTTCATGGCAGAAAGATGGCTCCCAAGTCGAACTAGTAGTTTTGTTTATGTCTTAAAAATGAAAGCCTTGAATTGTTGTATCAGTTTCTTTATTACTACTACGAATTCCAAACGCCGTTGTGTTTTTGATGGTCATGTTACGAGGCCCAATGCAGAGTGTTTTAATTCATGATGCCCGTGACTCTAGAACAGAAATATGTCAATTTGTAAGGAATTGTTTTTAATTGACGAAAATATACAAGAGAGCCCAACGTCGGACTTTGTGCTGACCAATTATCGAATTCCATTTATAAGTGTTTTGGGCCAAATTTTAAAATACATTACCTTAGAGACTGTTCTACTATTTATATATACCACGCAATGGCTCCATGGCAGCAATGAGTGGAATTTTGGAACTGTGATACAGACCCTTGCGGATTCACAACACGCTAAACAATTATCAGGGCCCATGGAAGCACACTAATTGAAAAGTCCTTCGGGTATGAAGATATAAATCTAAGAAACCGTTATTTTGTGTTTCATATATTTCGTTCAAATAGCATAGTTGTAAAGAATTGTTTGTGATGATCTCCTGCTTTAATCTTTCTCCTCGCATCACGATACTACTTCATCATCACTTTATCTTCACTTAATATTTAGACATATTTTTTTTTATGGTGTTTTCTAAGCGGTTTGGCATCTCTTTCTTCAAATGAGACAGAAAGAGGGAGTCCTCGGCGATGAATAATTAGACAGTAGTTACTGACATCCACGAATGACGTTGATCACTTACCGCGCATACGGTATGCTGCTTAGTCTATCTCTGAAGGTAATCAAAGTATCTATACTATATAATATTATAAAGCTGAAGAGTTTGTTTGTTTGAACGCGCTAATTTCAGGAACTACTGGGCCGATTTGAAAAATTCTTTCAGTGTTAGTTTTGTGAACTATTCCACGCGAACGAAGTCGCGGGCAAAAGCTAGTATTATAATAAATTGTTTGAATTAAAAACAAAAATCCTTACTGCCATATATTTTCAACATTTCTAATAACGCTGTCAGATACGTATTTTGGTGATAATCTACTTAAAAATAATAAATTTTGACTGTTCGATCTCCGCGTCAAATAATCCGTGCACTGGTTACTTTTGGAGCATTTTGATCCTTCCAGCAGCTTATCAAGGTTCGTTCTAAATTGTAAAAAAAAATGAGGGAAATTTAAACTAATGGAACACTATCAGAGGAAATTAATTTAAGGCTATTGATAAAGGTGCAGATTATGATGTGTAGATAGCCAATGTTAATTTATGTATAATTTAAAACCAATAATAACCAAAATAATTAAAAAAAAAGTATCCGGCTATGGAATGAGCCCTCCCCTCCACGGTGTTTCCCGAGCGCTGTCCTTCTTCAAACGAGGCTTGAGGAGAGTATTAAGCGGTAGACAGCGACTTGGCTCTACCACAGGCATTGTTAAAGTCCATGGGCAACGGTAACCACTCACCATCAGGTGGGCCGTGTGCTCGTCTGTCTACAAGTTTAATAAAATAAAAATTTTAAACTTTGACCTAATGATCTATTAGGTCAAAGTCATATTATACATACACATTTTTCTGTCTACCTATCCATCTGATCTATTATGTATGTATGAACGTAGTTGAGATTTCAATCTATTGCATGCGTTGAGAGCAGTATTCACCTTATGGTCTGTATGGACTTTTAAAGCCGCTTAACTCAAGCAGTACTGTCTTTCGCGAATGAGAATTTAAACAATCTGGACTTATACTCACGAGAAAAGCCAAAAATTGTTTTCGTCTTCATTGAACTTTGACGACGTGCTCTTTAAAGTTCTTTGCATTAGTCCGTGCAAAACGCTACCAACCGCATCTAAAGCTGTGAAAAAGCAACATATTTCTGTGGTGAGCAACAACATTTAAAGTTGAGGATTGAAATGTATTTTAACTTTTTTAAACCTTTACCTGAAAATCTATATTTAGTTTCACCGATTCTCGTGAGCACATCAACATTCTCTTCTTCATATGNTGTTTCTCATACCATGTTCAATAACAGGCACTGGGTATTCCAACAAGATTCGGCGCCAGCTCATAGAGCGAAGAGCACACAAGACTGGCTGGCGGCGCGTGAAATCGACTTCATCCGGCACGAAGACTGGCCCTCCTCCAGTCCAGATTTGAATCCGTTAGATTACAAGATATGGCAACACTTGGAGGAAAAGGCGTGCTCAAAGCCATATCCCAATTTGGAGTCACTCAAGACATCCTTGATTAAGGCAGCCGCCGATATTGACATGGACCTCGTTCGTGCTGCGATAGACGACTGGCCGCGCAGATTGAAGGCCTGTATTCAAAATTACGGAGGCCATTTTGAATAAACTTTAGTGTCATAAGAATCTATGTTTTGTTAAGTTCATTTTGGTATATGAATGGTTACATAATGAATAAACTTGTTTCAATTATTTTACATTAAACATGTGACAGAATTTATGACCTGACTAGGTATATATATAAAAGTGAATTGCTGTTCGTTAGTCTCGCTAAAACTCGAGAACGGCTGGACTGAATTGGCGAATTTTGGTCTTGAATTATTTGTGGAAGTCCAGAGAAGGTTTAAAAGGTAGATTATAAATATGAAAATGCTCAGAATTAAATAAAAATAACAATTTTGTTGTAAAAATAGCAATTTATAGCGGCAGCGGCTTGGCTCTGCCCCTGGCATTGCTGCCGACCATGGGCGATGGTAACCACTGATCATTAGGTGGACCCTATGGTAGTCTGCCTACAAAGGCAATAAAAAAATTTTTGAAAAATGTACCAGCGAACAAAATTTCGGTATACCCAAATACAGCTTGCACAGGTTTTCTGGAAACTTATTCTAAGCAACGATGAATTCAAATTTATTATATTAAATCATATTAAATCAATCATATTAAAAACATACGTGGCACCATAAATTTCCAAGAATCAGCCGTATTACTTGCGCGGCTGATTTTCGTAAAACGCAAGTCCTGAAGCGAGAAGACAATGAGGTCGCGGGTAGTGTCGTCAGTAATGTATACGTAAGACTCAGAGCATGGTAATATAAAATCAACTGATAGAGATCGGAGTCCTGGAAAATTATAATATATACATATATCACGTTTTCAGTGATATTATTACACCGGTAAGAGTAACGCCATTTATCGCCGAATAGCTGAACGAATATCGAAGGATCTAAGATTCTAGTAACATCTACAACGCTCGCGAAGTACAACGCCATCTATTGTCAGATAGCGGAAACACACGTCAAAAATACTCGACTTGTGAGGAATGTTCTCGACGATTCTAGGGATGCCGTATCGACTATAAAAACGTTGCAGAGATGGCATGCAGTCAGTTAGTAATCGAAACTACTCGAAGCGAAACAGCGAACGGATCACCTGAAGCGAAGCAGAAGAAGCGAATTGAGAATTTTAAGGTGTTTGTTGAGTGTTTTAAGTGTTCTAAGTGTTACCGTTAAGTACTCTNCGCGAATGAGAATTCAAACAATCTGTACTTATACTCACGAGAAAAGCCAAAAATTGTTTTCGTCTTTATTGAACTTTGACGATGTGCTATTTAAAGTTCTTTGCATTAGTCCGTGCAAAACGCTACCAACCGCATCTAAAGCTGTGAAAAAGCAACATATTTCTGTGGTGAGCAACAACATTTAAAGTTGAGGATTGAAATGTATTTTAACTTTTTTAAACCTTTACCTGAAAATCTATATTTAGTTTCACCGATTCTCGTGAGCACATCAACATTCTCTTCTTCATATGGTGTATCCATATTCCAACAGTAAAGCTTGTTACGATTCCAATTCGTGAATAACAAAATGTTTCCTTCAAAATTTCTCGTATAGATCATCCCTTCATAATTTGGATAGTAGGTGCTGTTAAATGTATCCTTAAGATAAGCGTATAAAAATCATCATTGATTCAAATTTCAAGACACCCTAGGTACTAGTGGCAGGTACTAATACTAGGTACTAGAGGGCATCTCTACCAGTAGTAGGCCGGTACAACCACCCTGCCTGCAGAATTACGTTTCGGTTTGAAAGGTAGAGCCGTTGTACTATAACACTATATTTGAATTAAGAATAATAATTAAAATTCGAGCTTAGATAATTTAACCAACCAGAACTGGCGAAATAATAAAGAGGTAATTCTTTTATATGGATCGACCAATGATTATGGAAATAAATTATCCCAAAAGATCTATCTGTTAATAGTTAAGAACTTACACGGGGTCTTGAATCACTTTTTGGATCATACAGTTGATTTGTATAATTTAAAAAATCTACATAGTGTTCGTATGTTTCGTTTGGCCTTTTTCTATATTTTTCAACTTCTAGCCTGAATTGTATTTCAAATCCTGACAAACAGAAATAGAAAATGTTAGTTTGCATAGAACTTCTGAAATAATGGGGATTAAAGAATGAAATTGCCGTGCTATTGTAATAGGTACTTCCAATGGACATAGAACCTCTATGGCTTGAGATTTTTGAGTGAAACTTTTTTCAAATGGTACCTATGAGATGCTTCTTTTAAAAAATGTGCAACATTCAATTATCAACTTTCAGTTGTTTTTTTTATTCAGCTTAGACAAGAAAGATGGGTATTTCGAAAATTCGAGTGATTTTTTAATACTAGTTCCGACGCGGAACTATAACTGCAAAAACAGCTCGCAATATCAATGTTGCGTTTGTAGAGGGGACTGCTAATGAACGCACCGTGCGATTTTGGTTTAAACGCTTTCGTGGTCGAAATTTTGATTCGAAGAACCGTGTGAAGAAATGTGGGTGTGGCGGAGGATGCTACGATTATCATAGGCTGCCATGAGAAATAGCGAGTCCATCCTAATAGAGCTAAACATTCAAAAAAGGCCATCTGCCCTCTGCCGGGAACGCTAATAATTTCAGGTCGCATAGAGGGCAGCGCGCCGTAGGCAGAACACCAGCCAGATGGTCAGATCTGGTTAAGTAAGCGGTTGATGGTAGTCTATACCATGCGGTCCTTGCTACCTATGATCGAACATTGTGAAGGAAAGTCCCATGTGGTCGCGATCCCCAACAGTGAGGGAACGAAGAAGAAGAAGAATAATGAATGCCCCACATCAATGTGCGTTCGGTGTGGAATAGTCATTGCATACAAGAGGAACATATAATTATGTGATAGCCGCAGATTAAGATATAATTATTTGGTAGGCTTATCTCAATCGATGTGTATTTATGATAGATGCACCAGCAAAGAATACTTCGTATACTCCGCTATATAGCCGTTGGAGTAAGCGTGTTCTTGAATGGAGACCGCGAACTGGCAAACGTAGGGTAAAACGTCCTCAGGATCGGTGAAGTGACGATCTATCCAGGGTAGATGGCAATAGCTGGATGAAAGAAGCAGAGGATCGTGGTCAGTGGCATGCAATTGGAGAGGCCTATGTCTGGTGTGGCAATGGACAGCTATAGACTGATGATGATGATGAAGATGACGAGGTCTTTTAGAAAATTAATCAAAGTAATGGCGAATTCAAAATCGTAAGAAAGACATACGTGGTACAACAAATTTCCAAGAATCAGCCGTATTACTTGCGCGGCTGATTTTCGTAAAACGCAAGTCCTGAAGCGAGAAGACAATGAGGTCGCGGGTAGTGTCGTCAGTAATGTATACGTAAGACTCGGAGCACGGTAATATAAAATCAACCGATAGTGATCGGAGTCCTGAAAATTTATAATACATTGACTTGATGTAGACTTCTACACGGAGCAAATATACGCATCAGGAATAAATATGTTTTCTCCTTATTTGAGTCGTCGATATGTATCAATCATATGAAAATGTTTAAACTTATGTTATTATATTATATTTATCGATCCTATATGTAGTAGAATTATTTTGTCCGTGCAGCTTGGGTCATAAAAAATCGTAGCGGTGAAGCGAGTATTTCGCTCTTTCTTCCACTCACGAGCCTTGTGGACGGGCATAGTGAATCGCATTATTGTTGTCGATAAGCGTTATCGATAGTGTATTTAGTTTTGTCATTTTGTGGGTTAGTGATAAAAATGAAAGAAAAAATCACAAATCGAACACTTACACCACATATCGCCGCAGCAAGTTAACGAGAATGGCAGAAATTAACACTTTGTAACTTTTCGGGATCTATTCTTATTTCAGTCAAAAATTTTAACACATTGTTGACAACAACACGTGCAAATATTATTTTGAATAAATTCTGCCGTTTTGATACAAAACAAAGGAGTAGCCAATGTGTCCCTAAAGAAATTCAGAGAACGAATACATAAAAACACATTTCTCTTCTACATAATGTACTATAATTTGCAGGTAAGTGCAAATGACTCCTAACAATGTCTCACCACCCTTTGTATACCACCCCGCCGCCTTGTACTTGCCTTCGATGACTCATTTGTTTTTATCGTTAATGGCGTTGCGCTCACGCAACATCCTCACCGCCCTAGCCGGACTATGTTTTATGACCCAAACTGCACGGACAAAATAATTCTACTATAGGTACAGGGTATCCTAGTTTGGACCGCAGGTGACTGTGTGTGATTAATCCCTGATTATTTATTTATTATAATTTATAAATGTACTGAAGTTACTTGCCACTAGTGATACCGTTATGGAGTAAAGCACTGTTGATATCTTTCCTGAACTGAAAATTTGGTTTTGGAAGACTATTGTAAAGTAGCAATGATGCTGGTTGTACTTGCTTTCGTACACCTGAAAAGCTTAATTTATTTAATTATACAATGTTTTAGTAAGAAGACATTTAAGAATAAATTTTATACAAAAGATAATATTGATGTCAAACAATGACTGCTATAAGTCGCAACACTTAAAATACATTTCTATAAACAAAGCATTATGTATCAAAATCGACATGTCCATAATTGCAATATCGTGAATAATCGCATGACCGCATCTTTCCTCTTACCTATGAATATAGCTGTTCTGTTTATAATATTTTGTATCATAGTTATTGTACTTGTCTTCTATATTTCAATCAATCGAATATATATAAACTCACCTGGGATATCGAGATATCCTGTATCAACAAACCAAAGCCTATCACAACCATCTTCAAACATGTTAAAAACCGATGTAAATTCTTTACCTTCCTTTGAATTAGGAAATGGTCTTAGCATTGGCTCTTTTTCATGAAGAAAGTTATCAATAAAGTTGACAGTAAATGGTATTCCTGAAATATAAAATTTTTAATTGTTCGTTGGCTGATTAACAACAATCTTAGTTGGCGCAATAGTTTGTTGAATACAGTTCAGATCCTCTTCGGACTTTGCCCATGAGCAAAAAACTGCTTTGCGATTGTAATGTTTCACCGGGTTGGATCAATGGGAGCTATTAGGTGTTTGGTACTTTTCATGCTATAAGTTACCGGCGCTGCTGTATTCAGAATTTTCAGTCCACTGAACGCTACGTCCCCAGTCGCTCCTTAACAGCTATTGGCAACGTTTCTCAAATATTGGGTGTATCGTTACCCAGTGTAGCTTCGTGATGTCCTTTTCACCGACTGGGGTGGCGGCACCCCCTATTGCATTTTGCATCTCGGTTTACTGTCGGCTAATCTATAATCTCCACCTCTAGGCGTTACTTGCCAGAGGCCGCGAGTATAGAATCCTCTACAAAAACGCCTTAACCTTATATTCCGGCCAAAAGTTGAATGGGTGAAGAGTCCCAAAGATAAACCCAGGCAAATGGCTAGCGGAAGCAACAATTACCACAACGAAGAGGTGGCAGTATAGTGCACTCTAAATGTGGATGAGGAGCTCACTATACAAAACCGAGCTAAACAGCATGTTCCCGTCACATAAGAAAAGCAAGGTCTATTGTTAACAGCTACCGTCGATCATGAACATCGGCTATACCTGTCATAACTTAGCCGCTGCCGAGCGTTGAGTATTATTCCTAAGCCTCATTTGGGGAATTTCATATAATAGAGCTCAGAAAACACCGAAAACTAATTGTATTATAGTTCATACCAGGTCGAGTTCTAGGGATGCTTATTGTTGTTTGAGGAACATCATAAATAAAATCATAGGGAATCAAGTTTTGTCTTATTAGAAACTTTTCATGCTCCTCTAAGGCCACGTCCTGAAAATGAAACGTCCCTTCTTTGTATTCGTAATCCGAGTCGTTCATGTCTGGAAAAGAAATGAACTCCTCTAATTATAAATCATTATCTTATTGACGTAACATATTAGGTAAATCTATACATATAAGTAAAATTGGAGTGTCTGTTTGTAATATTGAAATAAGTGCTTTTTAGTACATGCGTATGAATTTATATACGGTGCATACACCAAAATAATATTTTTTACAATTTTTGTCTGTCTGTCTGTTTTTTCCGGCTAATCTCTGGAACGGCTGGACCAATTTTGACAGGACTGTTACTGATAGGTAGCTGATATAGCGAGTAACTTAGGCTACTTTTTTAGATTATCAAATAAAATTTAATGTTTCCGAAGCGAAGCGAGGGCGGATCGCTAGTAATAATTATAATTAGATTTTTTAATATTTCAATTTTCAATCCCAATTACCAATGGCCCAATTGTAATTCCGTAATTTAAAGTCATATATATTCTATATATTATTATTATAATATATTTTATATTTTTTAGGCCTATGCCAAAAGGCACACCGAACTTGGGGACCTCTTGTAACCCTATGTTTAGGAATAAATCGGCTATTATTATTGTTATTATTATTATTATATGCCTGCCCACACAAGTTGGTACCACCAACCTGCCTATTTCTACCGTGAAGCAGTAATGCCTTTCGATTTGAAGGGTAAGGCAGCCGTTGTCCCTGTAGATAGCGGCCTCCCCCCTATGAAGGTTACGGGGCGACCTGAGGGGGTAGAGGCCGCGCGGCGCGCTACCAGCATTCTAGCGCGCTGCCAAGGAGATACGAAAGAGCAACCGGTTGGCGGTGTATCGCATCCCGACCCGGCAGGCTGATTCTGGTCCAGCGGGATATTCCGGGACACCAGCGGCACCGGGTGGGTGGCCTGACGGGCTGCCGTACTGAGACGGCCGACGTTTCAGAGCCTTCGATTCGCCTCGAAGGCTCCATCGGCTGGGCGTCTTTGGGGTGACCCGCGCCGTCTGGTTGTAGTGTTGACCGCGGTAGCCCCCTACCTCATCTGGGTTCTGACCTCGGAGGGGATCGAACGTCGGGTGTAAGAGTGCAGGGGAGTCGTTTAGTGGGTGGGTTCTAAAATCCTTGGGCCCGCGGTCTGCTCACAACACCATGCAGATTGTTGAGTCTCACATACCCCGCGCGCCCCTTATGCGCGGGGACCTCGTAGGAGGTTCGGCCCCCGGCCCGGAAAAAAAAAGGGCAGCCGTTGTACTGTTAAAACAAATTTGGGACTTATGTCTCGAGGTAAGTGGCGGCATTTACGTCTTAGGTGTATATGGGCTCCGGCAACTACTTAACAGCAGGTGGGCCATGACCTCGTCCACCCACATAAGCAATAAATAAAAAATAAACAAATAAATGTTCTGACAGTTAACTGTTTCCGAAGAAGGTATTAGCAACCTACATAGTCTATCGACGATTCGTACCCAAACTATCTATTTCTGCGAAGCAATGACGCATGTCTGTATTAAGGATAGGACATTCGAATTTGAATTGTCCTACCTAGAAATTCCAAACATCAAATGCACTGCAAACGCAATCGCAAATAGAGAAAAATACATTGATAAATAATAAGAACTTTAACTTACATTTTACTCCATCAATATCGTAATTAAACAGTTTCCAACTATGATCATATTCAAAGCTTCGCTTAGCATCATCCACCGGCAGTATTAATAACTGGATTAATAACAAACACAGCATATTTTAACGTCTGCAACCGCTCCGATTACATTTGCAACTGAGATATTCTTGTCATTGAATGCACTTTGGTTTATGCGTCATTTTAGAATTGTAATGAATGTGGGCTTCGCAGTCATAATTATTACCATTATCTGTACCTCTTTTTGTTCAGGAAGCAATCGTCAGACTCCCGCCCTCCACTGAGAATGGCGGGCGGTGCATGTCGGAGTCGAACCGACTAAAAACTCCTGTTGCTCAACAACCAACGTCCAAACCTCGCATGAGACAGAACTTATGAAAAGGCAAAGGGGGGAAAGTGAAGCGTTTAGTGCGGAGCCCATCTCTCCCATCACCCTCCCCGTCGGGACACTGGACTGGCGGTCGTCGGCGCCACGGCCACCAGCCCTTTCGGTCGGCAGGCTATCCGGAGCCCGCCTAGATGGTGCCAATTAGAATGGCTTATCCTACGGAATACCCCGCTAGGTCAGTAACAGCGTGGGTCGAGGACCCCCGACGTTGGGCAGAAGCTGGCTTAACGCGCCGGCCACCTCAAGAAACGAAGGACCAGGTTCTGAAAGTGAGCACGGAAGGTCCAACGACTGTCCAGAATGAGGCCGAGGTACTTCAACTGCCGACCCCGATATGGACGCCTCCAACCACGATATGGGCATCAACAGGTGGCACTCTCCGGGGCCTGTGTGGCGGGTAGCCATCATAAAAAACGCAAGATATTTTACAGATGCCTGAATCTCGCTTACGACATTTTCAAAATAAACTTGCACGTATTCCGCATGTGTTCCGAACAACAACGTTCGGACCGTCGGTCTTCCGAGCAATATCACCCGCTTGCTGGAAGATCTTCCCTCAGTCGTTAAGTATCCCACAATGGTGACCTGCGACGGAACAATTGCAGCCTTCACACTTCATCATCAGCGCATCAAGAACTTCGGCTACCACAATTCCCTGCATTCTCGCAGATAAAAGCAAGTCGTCGACCCTCGTCCCACAGCAAGCCAGCATCGCAGCCTCAACAGGACCATCGCAGGCTACACACTGCGCTTCCTGGTCCTACGGCAAGCACCCACGGGCCCCCTTACGGGCCTCGGGGAAGCCCCTCTGCCCGGGCTTGTGACTCCCTGCCTATTGAGGCAGGGGTGATGCGCTGCAGGTTCGTGAGAGGCAGGCTTGATTTTGAATATAGGTGGGAACGACTTCTTTCCATGCATTACTGCTGCGTGGCAGAAAAAGGGGTCACAAGTCGCCCTACCACAAGTATTTTTCTTTATGTGTCAAAAATGAAAGCCTTAAATTGTTTTATAAAGTTTATTTATTACTATTAAAATTTCCAAAACGCCGTTCTGTTTTTGAAGGTCACGCTTCGAGACTCGATACCGAGTGCGCCATTCCGTTCAAGATGTCTGTGAATCAAGAACAGAAATAATGTCAATCACTGAAAAAATTATATTCCAATCATTCGGTACTAAAGAATTGTTTTTGTTGATGAATGTATACAAAAGAGACCGCGTCGGCCTTTTTTTATTTATGATATGGGTGGACGAGCTCACAGCCCACCTGGTGTGAAGTGGTTACTGGAGCCCATAGACATCTACAACGTAAATGCGCCACCCAGCTTGAGATATAAGTTCTAAGGTCTCAGTATATTTATAACGGCTGCCCAACCCTTGAAACCGAAACGCATTACTGCTTCACGGCAGAAATAGGCGGAGCGGTGGCACCTACCCGTGCGGACTCACAAGAGGTCCTACCACCAGTAATTACGCAAATTATAATTTTGCGGGTTTGATTTTTATAACACGATGTTATTCCTTCACCGTGGAAGTCAATCGTGAACATCATTTGTTCTGGCCAGTTATAGTATCGCATTCTATTTATAGCTATTCTGGGTCAAATATTAAATTACCATCTTTTTTTTTTTTTCATTGCTTAGATGGATGGACGAGCTCACAGCCCACCTGGTGTTAAGTGGTTACTGGAGCCCATAGACATCTACAACGTAAGTGCGCCACCCACCTCGAGATATAAGTTCTAAGATCTCAGTATAGTTACAACGGCTACCCCACTCTTCGAACCGAAACGCATTACTGCTTCACGGCGGAAATAGGCGGGGAGGTGGTACCTACCCGTGCGGACTCACAAGAAGTCCTACCACCAGTGATAAACCTTACCTCAAAGCGTGTTTTATTATTTACGTATAACACACAATAACTTCATGGCAGAAATAAGTGGAATTGTGATACAAATCTTTGCGGATTCACAACACGCTTTACAATTATCAACGCTTATGTAATAAATATTGTAATTAGTATTAACTTGAGGTCGTCGTGGCCTAAAGGATAATACCTCCGGTACATTCGTATCTAGCAATGCAACGGTGTTCGTATCCCGTAGGCTAGTACCAATTTTTCTAATGAAATACGTACTTGAAAAATGTTCACGATTGACTTCCACGGTGAACTAATAACATCATGTAATAAAAATCAAACCCGCAAAATTATAATTTGCGTAATTACTGGTGGTAGGACCTCTTGTGAGTCCGCACAGGTAGGTACCACCACCCAGCCTATTTCTGCCGTGAAGCAGTAATGCGTTTCGGCTTGAAGGGTGGGGCAGCCGGTGTACTGTTAAAACTGAGACCTTAGAACTTATATCTAAGGTGGGTGGCGCATTTACGCTGTAGATATGTTTTTTTTGGGTGAACGAACTCACAGCCCAGCTGGTGTTAAGTGGTTACTGGAGCCCATAGACATGGGACATCTATGGGCTCCAGTAACTACTTAATAGTAGGTCGGCTGTAAGCTCGTAAGCAACAAAAAAAAAATTCAGGATCTCCATCATAATTACCTTAAAAAATAGCCAACTAACTGAAAAGTTATTTATGAAGACATCTTTTTTCATGGCGCTCTTTGTCATCTCTTTCTTTAAAGGAAATCCTCAATGATGAAGAGCGCTTGTGCGCCAGGTTGCTGACGTCCATGAACTTCATTGATCACTTACCATCAAATAAACTCTTGTCTTGTTTGGAGGCAAACAAAGTTTCTTATAATATATTTGTTCAAATTATAAACAATAAGCCCTTACCTCGATATATTTTCAACACCTCTAATGACGATATCAGGTACGCATTTTCTTCATATTCTTTTGAAAAATAATAGTTTGACGCGTCGATCTCCGCGTCATTTTATGCGTGGACCGGTTATTTATGCATTTTGATCCCTCCAGCAACTCGTCAATGTCCTTCCTAAGTTGTAAAAAAATAAGAAAAATCACAATTAAAATTAATTAAACAACATCAAAGAAAGTTAATTTAAGGCTACAGATATCGTTTGCGGATAACAATAAGGAGACAATCTTATGCAATTTCATACAAATGACCCTTTTTTTTTGGGCTGGGTGCCGAACCTCCTACGAGGTCCCCGCGCCTAGTAGGTATGTGGGACTTGACGATCTGTAAGGTTTTGGGAGCAGACCGTGGATATGACCCTATAATACGCATTGCTTTTGTTGTTTAACCTTTTAAGAAAGAAAATTAAAAGCAATCACAATCATGTAAAAAAACATGCCTAATTCAATAGCCCTAACTAGTTCTTCTCAGAAATAGCTCTTTTCCGAACTAGTACAGTATATTCAATAATTGTGTCAACATTTATTTATATTTATATGTATTAGCTGTATTAGCTCTCCATTTCGTTGGACATTATCTTTCTTTATTTTTTTATCTATCTATTATTAAGATAGTAACGCGAATATATCTCCTAACGAGAAACACAGCCTTGTAGTTGAAGTCTCAATTGCTACCCCTTGTTTTGAATTGAAAACCCTTCTCGGGCGACTAAACACTTTCCCGCTAATTATTAAGGTATATTCTACATTTTCTTCGTCGCTTTCTTCATTACTGAAGGTCGTGTCCTTGAAACTAGACCATGGCTTGCATCGTGAGCTGTTTCCACCTTGTCCGGTCCTCAGCTTCTCACGGTAATAATTAGGTTGAAATTCTGGCCAAAATACGAGGTTGCTTACCTTGTGGTCCTACAGAATGGATGATAGGGAAACGAAGGAGTAGGCTGAGACTGCTTCCAATTAACAGCCAGACAGACCATGATTAAACCAGAACCCCCGGCGCAGGACGTTCTATGAAGACTTCGGATGTCTTTCTGTTTCATTGCATTATACGTTATGACCTTTGGCTTCTAAGCGATCGTGGGACCTAAAGCAGTAAGCTATTCTGACCTTAGAGAATTTAAAATCAAACAATCTGCACTCATACTCACGAGAAAAGCCAAAAGTTGGATTCGTCTTCATTGAACTTTGACGACGTGCTATTTAAAGTTCTCTGCATTAGTCCGCGAAAAACCCTAGCGGACATATCTAGAGCTGCGAAAGTTGTAAGCGAGTATAACATTTAAAGCTTACAATTAATTGAATTGTACTTTATTTTCTTCGAACCTTTACCTGCAAATCTATATTTACTCTCATCGATTGTTGTGAGCCAATCAACATTGTTATCTTCAGATGGAGTATCCATATTCCAACAGTAAAGCTTGTACCGATTCCAATCCGTGAATAACAAAATGTCACCATCATAATTTTTCGTGTATAGCATCCCTTCATAATTTGGATAGTTCGTGCTGTTAAATGTATCCTTAAAATAAGCATAATAAAATTATCATTGAGTCAACTTTCAAGACCCCTACTGGTGGTGGAGCATCTCTAATGGCGGTAGGGTGGCTCTACTGGTGATAGGACGTCGCTACTTGTGGAATGGGGTTTGTGAGACCGCACGGGTAAGAACAACCATCGTGCCTAATTTTACCGTGAAGCAGTAATGCGTTTCAGTTTGAAGGGTCGTTGTATTATAAAACTGAGAATTAGAACTTATGTCTTAAGGAGGGCCTACCACCTTTCATTTCAGTACAGATTAACTATGTTAATTGGCATCTAGAGTAGCATGTTATCTCGGATCTACTATCAACTATATTTTAATAAAGAACAATTCTTCGATCGAGCTTTAGCGGAGCGATAATTTAACCAATCAGAACTTGCGAAATATTACAATAGAGGTAAATGTTTTATATGGATCGACCGATAACTCACAGGCACAAACTTTCTGACTGATCTATTAATAGTAAAAAAACTTACACGAGGTCTTGAATCACGTTTTGGATCATACAGTTGATTTGTAGAATTTAAAAAATCGACATAGTGTTCGTATGTTTCATTCGGCCTTTTTCTATATTTTTCAACTTCTAGCCTGTATTGTGTTTCAAACTCTATCCACAAAAACAGAAAGAGTTAGTTTGCATAGAACGTCTAAAGTACGTGTATGAAGATAAGGATTTTTGTTGTAATCTGCGCGATTTTGCGCTGTTGACATCTCTCGGCATATTCCTGGAATCCAGTTATTTGGTAGAAAATCAATCGCAGCACAGTAATTAATATTTCAACTTAGTTCTCGTTGTGGACGGAGACATATATTTTTCAATGTTAATCTTTATCATTTTCATGTAAGCTCTTAGGTAACTTTTAACTCTTCTTTTTCTCCACCTTATCCCACTGGGTGGGGTCGGTACAGCTAATTTTTCTCTTCCATTCTCTTCTATCAGCCGTCATCTCAACACTCACTCCTCTCTCTCTCATATCGGCATTCACACACTCCATCCATGTCTTCTTCGGTCGACCTTTTCCCCCTCTACCTTGTCACATGCATCTTCTCTCTACGCATCACACGTCCATACCATTCTAACCGTCGGCTCCTTAATTTGTTGTTTACCGGGGCCACTTTCACACTTCCTCTGATATACTCACTCTTTTACTCTTAGGTAACTTTTAACTAATTACAATATATATTTTTTATATTGCTTTGTTATATTAGTTGTTTATTATTAATTGTCGATATGCGGTGACAAGAAATTTTATTTAAAAGTGAATGACTCACTTCAATGAGCGTTCGGTGTGGAATGGTCATCGTATACAAGAGGAAAACAGAATTCTGTGATAGTCGCAGAAATCTATAACTAGTTAGGTCATAAGTATTGTCACACAGTAAAAACTTTTCTTTTAGAATGCTGGCCACAAACAAGTTTATTGAATTCGAATTTCGAATTGTTCATGAAAATAAAAATGTATACCTTTAGAATTTTACTCATTTTTAAATATGGAGTGGACGCTTAAAGAAGACCGTGTTGCAGTTATTGCTTTGCATCGTAGCGGTTACGCGCCAATTCAAAATTTTAACATACTGAAAAATTTGAATATAACCAAAAGATTCGTTTGTCGTACCATCAAACGATACAATGAAGACTCTAGTATAGATGACAGGTCAAGAAGTGGTCGCCCTCGGTCTGTTAGGACTCCAGCAGTGATAAAAGCTGTGAAGGCGCGAATTCAAAGAAATCCCAAACGTAAGCAGAAACTGTTGGACCTTCAGATGGGGTTAAGCAGAACCACGGTGAAAAGGGTGTTAAATGAAGATTTAGGGCTTCGGGCATATCGAAGAAAAACAGGACATCGTTTGAATGCTCGTCTAATGGACCTGAGACTAAAGAGATGCAGCGTTTTGTTGAAGCGGCACGCGGGAAAAAAATATCGGGAAATTATTTTTTCGGATGAAAACATAAAATTTTACCGTAGAAGAGAGCTACAACAAACAAAATGATAAGGTGTACGCACACAGTAGTGAAGAAGCGAGCAACTGTATTCCGCGTGTCCAACGAGGTCATTTTCCATCCTCGCTCATGGTATGGTTGGGAGTTTCTTATTGGGGCTTAACAGAGGTACATTTTTGTGAGAAAGGTGTAAAAACGAATGCAGTTGTNGACTTGTGAGGAATGTTCTCGACGATTCTAGGGATGCCGTATCGACTATAAAAACGTTGCAGAGATGGCATGCAGTCAGTTAGTAATCGAAACTACTCGAAGCGAAACAGCGAACGGATCACCTGAAGCGAAGCAGAAGAAGCGAATTGAGAATTTTAAGGTGTTTGTTGAGTGTTTTAAGTGTTCTAAGTGTTACCGTTAAGTACTCTCCACAAGCCTCGTATAAAGAAAGATATGTTATAGCGCTCGGAAAACACCGTGGAGGGGAGCTCATTCAAAAGCCGGATGGTACGTGGTAAAAAAGATCTCTGGAAGCGCACTGTGTGTGAACGCAGTGGCTCCAGGTAGTATGGATGAACTCTACTCCGGTGACGGGCGGTGCGATGATAAAAACGTGATGGTGGTATTATCTTAAACAATTCCTCAGAACACTCCCCATGGAACATACGGTACAAAATACAGAGAGAAACATTTAATATTAAGAATAATAAACATTTGTTTATTATTTGTTTGTTCTTTGTTAAGTAATGAAAGAATAATAAACGTAATGTTTATCGGTCTTGGATATAGGGGTATCCTAGTTTCAGGTTAAATGACCGTGTGTGTTTAGCCTCCGATTATTTATTTATTATAATTTATGAATGTATTGAATTAACTTGCCACTAGTGATACCGTTGTGGAGAAAAGCATTGTCGATGTCTTTCCTGAAATGCGGTTGTTCTTCATATTTATTAAAAAGTAGCAATGCTGCTGGTTTAACTTGCTTTCTTATACCTGAAAAGCTTGATTTGTTTAATGATTGATCATTATTATTTTAGTGAACTATTTAAAAATAATATTATATTAGCCAGAGTATAATGTTGATTTTAAACAATCATTACTACAAATCGCGGCGCTTACAATAAATTTCTATAAACAAAATATTACGTCGAAATAATTATGTGGTAATTCACATCTTTTATCTTACCTATCAAATATGGTCTATGGTCTTTTCTGCCACGTACCATCCCGCTATGGAATGAGCTCCCCTCCACGGTGTTTCCTGAGCGCTATGACATGTCCTTCTTTAAAAGAGGCTTGTGGAGAGTATTAAGCGGTAGGCAGCGGCTTGGCTGTGCCCCGGGCATTGCTGAAGTCCATGGGCGACGGTAACCACTCACCATCAGGTGGGCCGTATGCTCGTCTGCCTACAAGGGCATGAAAAAAATAATTGGTTTTCTATTTATAATATTTTTGATCATAATATTATACTATTGTTCTATATCGCACCGAAATCTAGCATATAACACTCACCTGGGATATCCAGATATCCTGTATCAACAAACCATATTCTAGAACAAATTGCTTCAACCATCGTAAAAACTGATATCAATTCTTTACCAACGTTCGCATTAGGAAATGGTCTCAGTACTAGCTCCTTTTCATTATCAAAGTTATTAATATAGTTAACTGTAAATGGAATTCCTGAAATATAAAATTTTAGGCGGTTCGTTGACTGATTAATGAAAACTAAAGATCCCGCAGTAGTCGAAATTCGACTATAATTAATTGGAATTGTAAGTTTGTACACTATTGTGATTGTATTTTATACTTCTATAATCACAAATTTCGCCAAGATTGCACTATAAAAAATATTAACAAAGACAAACAATATTCAATCTATTTTCAATTTGACAACAGACGTCAAGAACAAAAGTTTGACAATAAATAGTATGCATGCGTGTGGGCGTCAAATACATGGTATGTAGTGTGTGTAATGTTTTCTTTATTGATTTAATGTATCTTTTATGCATTATTTAAAAAAAATATTAGCATTGTGCACTTCTTCTCTATATTCTCTATAAGTGTGGAAAATTTCATACTCCTCCGTCCGCGCAATTTTCGTAAAAAGGGATACAAAGTTTTTCCTTCAGGTATTAATATATAGATTTCCGTTGGTACAATTAGTTTATTGCACATATTTCTGACTTCAGAGATTCTTCGAACGTTGCCCACAGGTCGATATAGCTGCTTTGCGGTCCATACTTTTCGCCGGGTTGGATTCACTTTTTTTCCTATCTATTCTAGTAGTCTCGAGGGGTTATACTAGATTCGCAGAGTTCACAGGGCTCTAACCTGACACTAACACTACCAAGAGCAGTGCTTCGCAGATATTACGACCGGATCAGAAACGTGACCCACTGAGAAGATCCAGCGAGAAACTCAGTGGGCTGTGTTTATGGGTTAATTCACGCGTCGAGCCCTTAGTCGCAAGCGACGGGTTCGACGAGGTCGGTGACCGTTGCTTGTGGTGCCTAAAAGCAACGTTAATGCATACGCATACGGCCCACCTGATGGTGAGTGGTTACCGTCGCCCATGGACTTCAGCGATGCCAGGGGCAGAGCCAAGCCGCTGCCTACCGCTTAATACTCTCCACAAGCCTCTTTTGAAGAATGACATATAATAGCGCTCGGGAAACGTCGTGTTGGGGAGCTCATTCCAGAGCCGGTTCTAAAACCTGGAAATGGGTTGAATGAGTGAAGAGATTCGAGTATCGAGGATACGCCCAGGAAAATGGCTAATAGAAGCCACAATTACCACGACGAAGGAGCGGATCCACATTAACTCTGAATGTGGATGAGAAGCTTGCCGTTGCTCTCTATCGATACCCATGGAGTAAACAGCATGGTCCTGTTTTATCATAAGCGTAAAGTCTACCTTGGGATTAGTGGTTACCATCGCCCATGGACATCGCCAGGAGCGCAGCTAAGTCGCTGTCTAGCGTGGATTACTCTCCGCAAGCCTTAATTGAGGAAGAATATGTAAGGAATGAACGGTAAACTGTAGTTCATACCGGGACGAGTTCTCGGGATGCTTATTATTGTTCGAATAACATCATCAATAAAGTTATAGGGAATCAGGTTGTGTCTTATTAGAAACTTTTCATGATCCTCTAAGACCATGTCCTGAAATTGGAACGTTCCTTCTTTATATTCGTAATCCGAGTCATTCGTGTCTGGAAAAGAAATGAACTGCTCTAATTACAAATGTAAGATCTCAGTATAGTTACGACGGCTGCCCCACCCTTCAAACCGAAACGCATTTCTGCTTCACGGCAGAAACAAGCAGAGCGGTGGTACCCACCCGCGCGGACTCACAAGAGGTCCTACCACCAGTAAAGGTGTCTCAAGATGGGTGACGCATTTACGTTGTGGATGTCTATGGGCTCCAGTATGCACTTAACACCAGGTGGGCTGTAAGCTCGTCCATCCACCTAAGCAATAAAAAAAGATGTTTTACATAAGGGCCTGATTCAAGATCATTGAACATTTAACTACAAAAAAAAAATAACAGACTCAAGTCAGTTAATTGTAAAACCAGTTTACCTTATAAGAAATGTGAACTGGTTTTTCCTCATTCTCATCGTACGAAAGAGCTCGCAGATTAGTACCTAAATACTCCCACTCAAAGAAACATATAGATGTGTAAATAATCCAACATAACTTAAGTGCACGCGAAATTGTTAACATTTCATTGTTTCCCAATTAGGTATTAGTATCTACTTAATCTACCACCGATTCATACCGAAAGTACCTATTCCTGTAGAGCAATGACCCCTTGACGGTTTAAGGGATAGGACAACCGCTGTGTCATAGTAAACTACAACTTTATAGACAGGATATTCGTATCTGAATTGTCCTGTATTGTTTTCCTAATTGTCTATAAATTCCAAACATCAAGTGCATTGTATTATCTAATTTTAGCAGTAGTAGATATATAACGACATGGAATACTTCTGGTGGTAGGACCTCTTGTGCGGACTCGCACGGGTAGGTACCACCGCCCTGCCTATTTCTGCCGTGAAGCAGTAATGCGTTTCGGTTTGAAGGGTGGGGTAGCCGTTGTAACTATACTGAGACCTTAGAACTTATATCTTAAGGTGGGTGGCGCATTTACGTTGTAGATGTCTATGGGCTCCAGTAACCACTTAACACACCAGGTGGGACGTGAGCTCTTCCACCCATCTAAGCAATAAAAAAATAAAAAAACTTCAGAATTAATAAACAATAAATGACTTAATTGCGTTTTCTGTAATATAAATAAGAAAACAATAGTTAAATGTCTTAATCTTTTTTTAAAATTAATATTTAAAACAGTATCAATATAATAATATGTAGTATGCAAAACTGAACTCTATTTTCACTGAATAACAGAAAGGTGAATGATTCCGTCAAGATTTTTTTTTTTAAATATAAAAGTTTTAAATGATAAAGGGTTTTTCTTAACAAACATAATATAAAACTTTGACTTACATTTTACTCCATCAATATCGTAAGAAAATAATTTCCAACTACGCTCATATTTAAAGTTACGATTAGCACTGTACATTTGAAGTATTGATAACTGGATTAATAATAAATACAGCATGTTAAGAGCACGTCTGCAACCGCTCCGATGGTATTTGCGACTGAGACGTTTTAACCGTTGAATGAATTGAATGCACTTTGGGTTGATGTGTCATTTTAGAACTGTAATGAATCTGAGACTCGCAGTCATAATGATTATCATTCTTTATTCTTTATTGTACACACAGTTAATATTACAGTAATTGCGATAGGATATAAAAAATGGCGAGCTTAACTCAACAATTGAGTTTTCTACCAGCTAACCGTTCTTAACGAAGGAAAGCTTTAAATGAGTGGGTAGAAGAATACAATCTAATCAATTTACAATCTAAACAAGAACAATAATAAAAATAAAAAATAAAAACACTAATACATAATATATTAGACTACTTATATACATACACACATAAATAATGTAAACATATACATACACGTATCATTACACATATCATTATCGGTACTCGGCTATTACTCCATTTAAACCACATAGTTCTTGTACATGATTTTTACCTTTTATAGCACATTAAGCTATTATATTATAAGCGCACACATTCCCCAAATGACCCACTGTAGTGAATGCTTTAGGGATATCCAAGTCTTATTTCAATTGTGTTAGTGGTAGGACCTCTTGTGAGTCCGCGCGGGTAGGCACCACCACCCTGCCTATTTCTGCCGTGAAGCAGTAATGCGTTTCGGTTTGAAGGGTGGGGCAGCCGTTGTAACTATACTTGAGACCTTAGAACTTATATCTCAAGGTGGGTGGCGCATTTACGTTGTAGATGTCTATGGGCTCCAGTAACCCCTTAACACCAGGTGGGCTGTAAGCTCGTCCACCCACCTCAGCAATAAAAAAAAATAATTAAGAAAGCCGTCACATCAAAGACCAAAGTCTCTATTGAACTGATATAATCTTATCAGTATTAAGATTGCGACTCAAGCAAGAGTGGAGAGGTGAGGGCAAATTTGTTATTCGTAATCATTAGATAGAGCTGTGTACTTAATACAGATCAGACAAACAACATAATCAGATTTGTATCAGCCGTGTTGAGGGGAAGGCTTTAACATAATCGTCACACTTGGCATCGAACGCAGAGTTTTTTTTTAAACTTGACCTGAATTTGAATTTTGGGATAACGCTAAGTTTTACCCGCAACTTCATGTACGTAGGAGGTGAAATCATTTTGAAAAAATAGAATGTTAGGGAGCTATTTCTTCCTATTCGTACACTCTTGACAGAGTGGTCGTGGTCATGCATCAGTCGGATCCTGCGATACCGATGCTCTCGCGATGCGACGCCATGTGGCACGATGTTTCGCAGAGTGAGAGCAATCATTTATGTTGGAGTGAGTCACAGATTTTATGAGGTCGGTCTATCGTGATCGTTGGAGAGCTATGTAAGATACTAAAATCACGCTTTTTAACTGACTTCAAAAGCGGAGGTTGTCAAATCATGTCGACCACAATTTCTTTTATCTAATTTCACCTAATTCTCGAGAATGCTTGATACTTATTTTTTCTTTTTTTTTTGTTCGAAAGGTTAGACTTTCTGAATAGTCCTGTAATCATCAAGATCAGGATCTGATGATGGGATCCGGGAGAAATCAAGAAAACCTACATTTTTCAAAGCCTATCTTGAAGTGATTTTGGTGTTTCTTGTTATTCTTCTTACTCAGTGCCGGCGGCTTATACATCATTATTAAGATGTTATTTTAACACTGCGATATCATCTAAGATACTCATTGAAATGAAATGATGTAAAGGAAAAAAATCTTTGTACTTAGTTGTAATGAATAACATATTTATTTAGATAAGGATTAATATCATCTTTATAAAAACACCTTCACAAATAATGGCTTATTTCAGAACCAATTTGGTTAGAACAAAAAACGTCGGAGCTTTTTTTAGAACTTTGAAAGCGGAACAATTCTGTCATACATTATTTTAACGAAACTTTAACCGTTTCCGCAGCACAGGCAGCGGAAGCTCTCAAAAGGGGAAAAAACCCTTATTTTGAAATATTCCTTATTAGTGCTCTGCTCGTATTGGCTTTAGCGTGATGTTATATAGCGCATAGCCTTCCTCAATAAATGGGCTATCTAATAGAGAAATATTTTTTTTAAATAGGATCAGTAGTTCCTGAGGTTAGCGCGTTCAACCAAATAAACAAACGTACTCTTCAGCTTTATTATATTATAAGCATAAATAATAAGGATAATAATCCTTGTGCCTTGCGTCACGTCTCCAGGTTGTTTACAGCATTTACGTGAAGTCTACGACCTCAAGTAGCTACTTAAAACTCCAGTTCAGTGCAATAAAATAAATTTATGGAAGACTTGTTTAGTGACGCATAGATTCAAGGCTTCGTTTGTCTCATCAAAAAACATAGTGGCCACCAAAATATTAGTAGGATTCTCGACTTTGTGCCCATTGAAATAAGGTGTTTTGTACCTAGCAGCCGTAAACAGAGTTGATTCCACTGAAACTAGTTAGAAGTTTGTTAACAAACACCGTAGCTGTCAGATCGGATGGCACACGCGCTCTGATATAGATATGATACGATCTAACGAACTGTAACATTGATGTTGGGCCACTAAAATAACTTTAATCATTTGGTGATTTTTTCGCTATACATTAGTTGGTTGGGTCGTTATTGCCCTTGTAGGCAGACGAGCATACGGCCCACCTGATGGTGAGTGGTTACCGTCGCCCATGGACTTCAGCAATGCCAGGGGCAGAGCCAAGCCGCTGCCTGCCGTTTAATACTCTCCACAAGCCTCGTTTGAAGAAGGACATGTCATAGCGCTCGGGAAACACCGTGGAGGGGAGCTCATTCCATAGCCGGATGGTACGTGGCAAAAAAGACCTTTGGAAATGCACTGTGGATGACCGCAGTGGCTCCAGGTAGTGTGGCTCCAGGTAATATAACCTTCCTTCGTAGTTTTAAGTAAATAAAAATGAGTTTATTTCATGCATGTACACCAATTTCATAATAAGGTAAAAACGAAAGCTACATGACGATAAGAATTTAAAAACTCGATAATTATTACAGATAGTATTTTAGGCGCCTTGCAAATTCCATTAAGCAAATTCCATTAACTGCGTTTTATTTACTTCAGGAAGTCTAATAATATATTTTTTTTATTAGGATCACACACCTGGATAAAATCTGCACACAGAAACATTGAACTTATTTACATAAAATAATACATTATAGAAATCACCCGTTTGGGTGTGAACACATCTTGCTAAGAGCGTTTGTGCTTAAGATAAAAATACCGTTAGCTAATAATAAATGAAGATAAAGAAAACAAAAAAAAAAAGCTGCTTAAACAAACTTACAAAAAAAAAAACAATAAAAATAAAAAGAGGGAAATTAATGTTCAATAGAAATCAAAATAAATGTGGTTGGTCTACAGCTCTATTTAATATTTTTTTTTTTATCTATTTCACTGTTTATTTAATATATATTTTTTTATCAAATATAGTTTGAGTAAAACCGGTTAACTTTTATTAAATTTTATTACAAGTCGCTCATTTACTTGGAAACGGAAGAAAATGTAGTGATAGTAATTTTTTTTTCTTAATATTTTTAATTAAATGATCAAATCTTAACTTTACAGTAGGTCGTGACTTGGCTGTGTCCTTGGTCTTGCTGACGTCTACAAGTGACGGTAACCACTTACCATCAGCTGGGTCGTACGCTTTTCTGCCTGCAAAAGAAATAAAAAAAAAAACTGTTCTAAAAATAAGTTGACCTACCCTCAAAAATACTTACAACGAACCAATAAAATCCTGTGAAAATACAAAAAAGATTCTGGCAACACTCCGCTACATCGCCCTCGGCTATATTTGTATTACATTTTCTTTAAAACGACAGTACCCTATTAATGCAGTGTAAAGTTTGTTTGGGCTATTTGTCGTCAAGTATTTGCGGAGTCGGAGCCTTGTGTTTGGAGTGGCCCGACTCTCGCCCGGGTTTCATTTGCATTTTCGCTGTGTATTCGATGAGACTTATTGGGGCCATTCAATTGCGACTTCCCATGAAATGTTTTATGAATTACCTACGTTAAATCAATTTTAAACACTGCACTAATTCTATTTTTATTTTTATTACTGGTGGTAGGAGCACCTGTGAGCCCGCACGGGTAGGTACAACCGCCTTGCCTTGTTTTGGCTTGAAGGGTGGGGCAACCGTTGTAACTATACCTTGCCCGCTTCGAAAAGGCGAACGACATGAAAACCCTCTTGTTGTAGCCGCCACGTCATTACAGATCCTCTCGATCCATTTACTGTGCTTTTAGGTACCACAAGCACCGGTCACCGTCCTCGCCGAACCCTTCGCTTGCGACGAAGGACTTGGCGAGTGAATTAACCCATAGACACAGCCCACTGAGTTTCTCGCCTGATCTTCTCAGTGGGTCGCGTTTCCGATCCGGTGGTAGATTCTGCAAAGCACTGCTCTTGCTAGGCCTAGTGTCAGCAACGCCTCCAGGTTGGAGCCCCGTGAGCTCACCTACTTGTTAGGTTACGTTGCCATAACTTCTCAAAGCTATCAGCTTAGGCAGAGAAAAAAACAGAAATCTTTTTTTTTTATAACGCATCAGCATATCACATTATCTATATATTTATATTCACAATAATCTAAATGTGTTTGTTCTATAGCGAAATAGCTCTAGCTTTTTCGCAGTAATTCGCAGTCTGTTTGGATAGCATTTAATTTTAAGGGAACCTACAGATTAGCTTAACGAGTAATGTCAAGTTTGATAGTGAAGTCGAATCAAAGATCGGCGAACAAAGCAAGCTGGATTTGATTAGTAAAGTTATCTATACTAATCTATACTATCTATACTAATATTATAAAGAGGAAAGATTTGTTTGTTTGTTTGTTTCGAATAGGCTCCGAAACTACTGGACCGATTTGAAAAATTCTTTTTCCATTAGAAGCCGACATTGTCCCTGATGAACATAGGCTACTTTTTTATTTATTTTTTTATTTTATTTTTTTGGTTTCATGTGTGTTTTAATGTTTCCGAAGCGAAGCGAGCGCGGGTCGCTAGTATA